TGAGAGGGACACTGAACATAACGAAACCACCAAACCCAAAGTGGTGCTTTCTACCACACAGCTGATTTTCCGTCGGGGAACCGCCTTACTGGTTTCGCTTCTTATTTTGATTATAGGTGTTGCTTGTCATATTGCTTTCCCTGTACCAGAGGAGAGTGCACAGAGCAAGGCCAACTTTACTCTGAACTGGGCCAATGACTCCACTCCCACGCCACTGGCTCCTCTGAACTTTACACCACACTTCTGAGATATTTTTAACTTCCAAATATTGACTTGTCATGGCTGCATATAGTAAGTGTTAAATTCCTTCCTAGTTGCACATCTTCTCATAAACCAGGGGTCTTATTTTCTAAAACTGGTGCTACCTTGTGTAGAGAGAAAAAAACCCCGTCTCAGTGCTGCACTGCTGAGCAAATCCACAGAAAGCTGGAAGCAATATCAAATGAGAGGGAATCTGGCAGGATTAACAAAGGTCTTGTTACAAAGATCGTGTTTTAACCAGCTCAGAGCTGAGATTTCTTAACTGGAGCAACAAGGTAGGTTACAAATCTTCACAGGAAAATCATGTGGGCATCAAGCAACAGATGTTTTCCCACAGATAGCTTTTTGTTTTTCAACCTGTTCTTGACTTAATTTACATGTTGCACTGTGAGGTGTATATCGCAGCTTACTGACCTCAAATCATTCTCTCATTTTTTTAACTTGAAGATTGACTGTAAATATGTGATGCTAAATTTGACATGTCTGTAAGTGAAATATCATCGTCACATAGTCTTTTACTGTTGCTCTGGCTCTGTTTATTTTCAGGACAGAAGTGAATAATAAATAATAAGCTATGTGTCACTGGAATACATCACAGCCTCTAGTCTGAACTCTTTTTTTCTTTACAAACAAAACACGAAGACTCATATACCGTACTAATATGCAAAAGAACCATAGTTCCTTCTGTTATAGATGCTCTACTAATAACTGCAAAGTGACTATCATCACATGAAAAACAGTGTGGAAATCCTTTAAATAATTCACTATATTGCCAAAAGTATTTACTCACCCATTCAAATGATTGAATTCTTGTGTTACAATCACTTTCATGGCCACAGATGTATAACATCAAGCACCTAGGCATGCAGACTGCTTCTACAAACATTTGTGAAAGAATGGGTCACTCTCAGGAGTTCAATGAATTCCAGCGCGGTACCATTATAGGATGCCACTTGTGCAACATGTCCAGTTGTAAAAATATTCAGTCACCAACAGCTGACTGTTGGTCATGATATCACCAACAGCTGATATTATAACAAAGGGTCAATGATTGGGAACAGCAACTCAGTCATGTAAAATCACAGACCCGGGCCAGTGGATACTGAAGCGCAGAGGTCTTTCTGCAGAGTCAATCCAAACTTCCTGTGGCCTTCAGGGTAGCTCAAAAACAGTGTGTAGAAAGCTTAATGGAATGGGTTTCCATGGCCGAGCAGCTGCATCCAAGCCCTACATCACCAAGTGTAATGCAAAACGTCAGATGGACTTATATAAAGCACACTGCTACTGGACTGGAGTGATGAAATACACTTCTCTTTCTGGCATTTCAATGAGTCTGGGTTTGGCAGTTTGCCAGGAGGACAGTACTTTTTTGACTGCATTGTGCCAAGTGTGAATTTTGGTGGAGGGAGGATTATAATGTCGGGTTGTTTTTCAAGAGTTGGGCTCTGCCCTTCATTTCCAGAGAGAGGAATTCTGAATGAAAAACAGTTTTTACCACCAAGCCATATGACACCTCAACCACAACACTTAAACACACACAACACACAGGACGCACTCAGAAGCTACCTTGCAGCTTCACAAGTACTCTGTTTAATCTGCACTGGTCACTTTATTGTTATTTATATTTATATTTAAAAAGTGCAATACTGTAATTTTCTGCTGCTCATTCCTGTGCAATATCCCATCTGCCCTCCCGTCATATTTCTTTTCAAGATTTTCTTATTTAATCACTAGTG